AACAGTATCTACTAACAAGATGTTCATAATGTACCAGCACTTACTTCTTCTCGCTCAATGAACCCTGTCTGTCTCAGATTATAAAGCTTAAAGACAACTGCGAAAGAATACAAGGCAAATCTAGTCAGTACAATCTAAATCAGGTGCCATTCTGTCAGCCAAAGAATTGATTCACCTAGTCACTCACAATCTATTTTATCCTCCATTGGAGCACATGGATGGAACACATTCAGGGCATGGATAAACTCCTCAAACTCAATTACACCATTTCTCTTTTCATCAAAAAGATCAAAAACCTGCAAAGGTGCCATCAGGTTAGTAAGTGAAGTAACTAAATGCACAACAATATGCACAATGCACGAACATATCACAATGACTCCTTAACTGGTAAAGTGATACGCTAAATGTGATATAGCATGCACTATGATATTGCACTAAATGTTAATCAGCTATGTCAATTTCAAATAACATTGAGCTCCAACATGTGCAATAGGCGGTAACTGGATGACTCAAATCAACCTGAAGGAATGGTATGCAAGCTTCCAGAATTGAGAGCCTTGCATATGAAATCTGGCACTGCTCGCAGGAGAGCATGACTTTGGCTATCATAACAACAGACACAAAAGTTGCAGATATAAATAAAAATTGAACCACACAACAAAAGTATCTCTTGTGATCAGTTATTTATCTGTTGCTTTCCCTGGTAATTACTGAGAATCATGGTCTTTGATTCACAGGAAGCTATTTACTTTTGAAAGGAAGGGGACAGAATAATCCTATATAAAGATAAAAAATGGCAGATATGCAAGTATTTGATGTCCCAAGTCACAAGCAATTGAAGATTTCCAAGTAATAAACAAATTGCAATGAGCAGGCATGCAAAGAATTGTCTGCAAACATTTTCTTTGGAGGCCATTGAAATGAATACACATGCAAAGAATTGCGGCTCGTTAATCTTCTGGCAAAACCTAAACATGCACAAAATTATGATTTCCATCTGGATCAACAATGCCTCATTAATCAACTCCATTTCTTTTTTAATTGAAGAAATAATTCGAATCCAACTAAAGGTTAGACAGCCAAAAAAATGGGACAAAGAAAAAGAAGAAGAAGTGTTTATGGAGCATTTACCCGATCCAGAAAAAGATTTTCACCTTGTGAAGTTTGAAACAATGCTAGCTGAAGCTCTTCCTGTAATTGCAATAAATATCCAAAAAAGAATCAGATTTATCAAGGAAAAAGAAAACCCAGTACACGTTTATTAAGATAGCTAAGAGACCAAAAATTACCGTAATAAGAGTACAAACCAACACAACTGAAAGCGAAAAACCTTTACGTTAAGCAAGAATAAATTAAGAATACCTTGTGGATGAACCCATCATCAACAATCGAACAACTCAACTTCTTAAACAACTCATACAATGCCTCCACTTCGTTTACTGAGACTGAAAAAAGTACAGACCATTGAACACATCAACTTTCGATTCCCATTCTTCCCAACTGTTCAAACAGAATCCAGGCTTTAAACCGAAATCCAATAAACAAGCCAATTCATCCCTGTAGTCTAGTACAAAATCCAATTCATTTCGAGCCTTTCTTTTTCAAGTCCAACTCTCATGGAGGATAAGAAAAAGTATATATCTTTTTCTGCATACCACTTAAAGCTAATGAAGTTTCGATCTGATTAGTCCAAAACCCATTTAACATTAGAGATCATAAATTCCAATTTTCATGCAGACAAACATTTCCACAACAAGAAAGAAAAAGAAAACAAAAAAAAATCCATTAGCTGCTGTTTCAAGAAATTTGAAGCCCACGATACAAGAATTGTGGATACATGACATCTGTTCAAGTTTAAAATTGATATTTTCCATTTTCGTCATGATGATTGTTAACGCAAAAGTTCCAGGCAAATAAGAGAAAGATAAGAACTGAAACGAATGAAGTAGGAAGTAGAAAGCATTTACATCGAGATTCTTGGATAGTCGAACGAGTTCCTTGTACGCACAGCGCAGTTTCTTGGGACGGCGGAGATTTATGGGATTGGGAAGACACTCGAAACAGCCCGACAACGCATAGATTAAAGCTTCAGCTATTGCTATAAATGGGATGAGTGCGGCGCAAATCTTCTCAGGAAATGTGAAAGAACTTCCCTAAAATTTTCACATCATAAAAAGAAAAAGAGAGGAAACCAATTAACTCAACGTAATCAAAATCCACCATAGAAACACATTCATTGGTGAATCCATTGAATTCATCTACCACAGAAACACATTCATTTGTGAATCAAAATCAAAATCTACCTGAGAATTGTTGGTTGAATCCATTGAATTCATCTAAGCAAAAATGCATTATACTTGTCACATTTTTCCCGTCACAGCTGGGAATGTTTTCTTCTGCTTTTGGCTGGAGAGGGAATGGTTTGAAATTGAAAGCATGAGGCGACTCACTTGGTTGGTAGCTTTATCCGACCCAAATGTCATATATATATATATAGACTTTTTATAAAAATAATTAAAAAAAAACTCTATAGAAAAAATATATTATAAAATGAAGATAGTTTAGGATCGTATTTTGCAATTAGCCCTTTATTTATTTATTTATTTATTTATTTTACCAGATAAGATACCCAAAAAGATATCTTCTTTTTTTTTTTTTTTACGAAATAGAAGTTTACCCAAAAAGATATCCAAAAGGTAGGGAATCATCCACCACTGCATGATGTTGCACGTAAGAGGTTGTCGAAGGTTGTCTGTGTACGATGTTGAATTTGAGTGGCATGTGATGTGGACCCGAGTTGGATTTGCAATAATGTCGAGATCGCACTTGTCGGACGAGGGGCCTGGACGATAAGAGATAACCGTCCCAGGCAGTTCACGGCTTGGATGAAGTCTCAAAAATTTGTGCGACTCAGATCACGTCTTGTAACTCGATTTTCACGTCGTGTGAGACCCATAAAAATATTATTTTATTTTATTCGCTGTTATACAGATGGTGTTACACCTTCCGGAGTGATTGTTCTGACAACCGCTCCAGCCTCGCGTCCGCACTTGTCATCCTCTTATGGCGAATTGGCCAGCTCAATAAGATTGCAAAGAATATGAAATGAAAAGTCTATGAATCATGTGTATATTGATTTACATGTATGTTGTAAAGTGGGCCTCCATCTTGAAAAATGAGTACGGCATCGCAGATTGGAGCAAAAGGACGGCATCACGTGATATTCAGCGGTGGCTGTATCTCCAAAGCAAAACAACCGACTAAAGTTCCTATATATATATATATCGAAAATTCTAAGGATTGGTATAGTGGTTTGTACCAATGCATTGGTAAAGTGGTTTAAAGAGGTACGGATGAGAGGAGGACAAGACACGTTAGTCCAAACAAAATTGAAGGTTGTTTTCGGTCATGGAAAGGCAACGGAAATTGAAAGTGACAGAGGGTTCTACACTGAAAAGACAGTGGGTTCCACAATTGAAGGTCTCAACTTCTGTCAGTGGAAGGAACATGTGAAGGACCGGAAGAAGCAGACTTATTTCGTCGGTTATTTCGCTAGTCCGAGGAATAATAATGTGACGTGAAAATTGGCTAGCATCGTACGAGGTATAAAGCATTTATTTGGCAAGAGAATGAACCAGGAATATTAACTGTACAATTACTTTTACCAACCAATATAGGTGAAAATTAATGGCTAAGGTAATAAATCAAGCTGGATGGCTCCGTATGAAATACTTGTAAAAAGAGCAAACAATGAGCAAAAGTCTTGTGCATAGTGGAGAGGCCAGGAGGAAAAAAACGCAAATAGATAGAGGTGAAGAAACAGCTGGTACGTGAAAGGTAATATGTTTTGTAACAATAATGAATTAGTGGATATAGCTTTGAAATATTCTTTTTGTAATCGAGGGAAAAAATTGAAATGTGGAATAAATTTGCTTATGCAGTATTGTTGTTTGAATATATGTTGTACTTTTGTATATGAATGGTAACTCTCTTCATGAACAAATAATCATAAAATATGATGTAATTAGTTTAGTCTATGACATAAATGGGTAAGAGCAATTTAAAATATTTGTTAATATTGTTTTCTAAATTATGAACAATAGAGTGATAGAATTGTGAGCATAGAAAAAAATAAGAAATATTGTTTTTAGATTCATTGTGTAGTTGTAGAAAGTAGAAAGAAAGAAACTGGTTTGTAGAGGCAAAATATTGTATAAGGTAAATATTCGATGAATTGAACACGATTATTTAATGAATATTTGTATGGGTTGGATAAGAAAATGCTAAATGCAATTAAAATATTTAATAAAATTAGTCACAAATGTACTGATTTATGTGGAAAACCTCAGGGAATATTGTAGTTGGATTGCTCGAATTGATTATGGACCCACTAAGGATTAAGTGAAATGTTGGGATCATTAGTGAATTTATGCTAGAATACAAATTTTGAAATTAAATATAATTTTGTACATGTGTAATTGAAGAATTAGAATAGAATTATAAGTAAAGTTTGTCGTTATATTGGTCCATACCGAAAGTTATTGACTGATATTGCTTGGTTCAATTGAAAATTGAGTACCGGCCTGATTTGTAGGCAAAAATAATATGACATTGTGAAAAATATTGTCGTCATAGAAAAGACAATTAGTACACATTAATTGAGTGAACAATAAACATAATGAAGAAAATGTAAAGTTGGTACAAACTGAAAAGAAGTTAGAAAAAATAAATAAATTGACATAAGAGTAGATAATTTAAATATTTTGGAAGAAATTTCAAACTAGATAATATAAAATTAGGTGTAGTAGTACAATTATATGGATTACAAAAAATAAATTATATATGTATATGCAAAATTAGATAAATTTAGATTAATTTAATTGTGTAAAATGACATAAGAGCATAAAATTTCAGCAAAGATAATATAAAATTAGATATTCGTAGTAAAATTTGGATAAATTAATTGTAGATAATTATATTGTGTTGATTGATAGTCGCAGATGGATCGGGAGAAAGGAAAAAATGCAGTAATAAATTTGAATGAAGAGGACGAGAATTGTGAGTCATTTAGCTCAAGTGAAGAAGAATTCATTTCCTCGGAAAAAATAGAAAAAAATTATCCTGTTGATGATATGGATGAAGAAGTGATGAATATGGTATTTGACAGTGAGGAAGATGCATATGAGTTCTACAATTTGTATGGCAAGCTCACTGGTTTTGGCATTAAGAAGGCAGATGTTAAAATTAGTCAAGATGGAACTGTACGGTATAGAAAATTCGCATGTTCTAGGGAAGGAAAAAGGCACGAGAGATATTACAATCTAGCACAGAGGATTAGGCAGCCCAGGCCAGAGACAAGGACAGGATGTCTTGCATGTCTACGCATCAAACATGACAAAGCATCTGAAAAATATGTGGTGACGAATTTCGTGAAAGAACACAATCACAAAATGGCTTCCAAATCAAGCATTCCATATCTATGGTCTCATCGACACGTAACAGATGCCGATTATGCTCAAGTACGAACAATGAAAATGGCAGGGGTGAAAACAAGTCAGGTTATGAAATTTTTTGCAATGCAGTGTGGTGGATATGGTAATGTTGGATTTGTGCTAAAAGACCTATATAACCGTGTCGATGAAGAAAGGAGAGTCTTGATTGAGGCTGGGGATGCAAAAAATGCAATTGCATATTTCAATGGAGGAAGGCCAGTGACAAATCATTCATCTTTGAATATGATGTGGACGAAGAATCAAGGTTGAAGACCCTTTTTTGGGCAGATTATGAGTCCCAATTGGATTATAAATGTTTTGGTGATGTTCTAATATTTGATTCGACTTATAATGTCAACGAGTATCATAAGCCACTCGTTGTATTTTCTGGAGTGAACAATCATTATAATACTGTTGTATTCGGTACAGCCTTGGTATCGGGCGAGAGTGTTGAAGAATATGAGTGGCTCCTTCACACATTAACCAAAGCTATGGGAGGACGAAAGCCAAAGGCTGTGATAACAGATGGGGACAAAGCAATGAGGAGGGCAATAAATAATGTGTTCCCAGATGCTCGACATAGATTATGCATTGGCATTTGATGAAAAATGCAGAAGCTAAAGCCAAATCAAATGTATTCAAGTCAATGTTCGGTAGGATGATGAAAAAGGCGTACCCCATTGGTGACTTGGAGGAAGAGTGGTTTGCTGTTGTGGGTAAATGTGGACTCCGCCAAAATAAATGGGTGGAAAAGATTTTCGAAATGAGGTTGCTATGGGCTGAATCGTTGCTTCGTGATACTTTTTTTGCTGGAATGCGAAGCACTCAAAGGTGCGAACAAATGAATGCTTTTCTTAAACAGTATTTAAGAAGAACATGCGATTTTATGAGTCAGTCATAATCCATGAGTTGGCTCTTACTCACTTGAGGCATACTGGGGCCAAGGCAGTTCATGAGACAGAAGATACAATAGTGGTTTTGGCAACTGAATTACAAAAGTTGGAGAAGCATGCATCCGAAGTGTATACTCGAAATGTTTTCTTTCGGTAAGAAGCACCTTAACAGACAAGGCCTATATGATTGTTATGAACGGAAAGAAACTTGGAATGGCTGCGTATTTTTTCTCAAAAAGTATGCCGATGACAGAACATGGACAGTAGAGCTCAATCGAAGGACCCTATCATTAAAGTGCTCGTGAAGAAAATGGAATGGAAAGGGTTACCATGCGCACACATGTTCGTGTAATGCTGATGGAAAACATGCAATCAATACCAAAATCCTGCATTTTAAAAAGATGGACATGCGAGGCCAGAGAGGAGGCGGATAATGAAGTTCTTGAAGGGAGGCAGGAGATATATGCTGAGTTGGTTCAAACTGCAAGATTTGGAACGTTGACATCAATTTGCAAGGAAATGTGTTTCTTTGCATCCCATATGGATGATGGATTTGCTCGTGTACGAGATATTGTTATAAAGGAGACTAATAATTGGAGGAGAGCTTGGTGGAGCGTGGATTTGATTGTGGCACTAATGAAGGTTAGCTGTGGATCCAAAAGAATCACGCTTAAGCCAATATTGTGTGAAGGACCCCGAGAGGACAAGAGCTAAAGGTGACCGGGTTCATACCAATAAAAACAAAGCTGCTAAGTGTGGAAACTGTGGGTTAGTTATCGTAATAATAAATTAGATTATACATTTGCAATAACTGAAAATCATAAAATGGATTATCATTGCATTTTGTACTTTCATTAATTTTATTGGTATGATCACAGGTTGCGTGATGGCCACAACAAAAGGACATGTCCTCGTAACTTGCTTAGTTACGATGCATGTGGTATTTCTGGAAGCCAAGCAATTCATTATAGCAACCCAGGATCAAGGACTATGGGTGACTCAAGATTCAGTTCGGTGCATCCTCATCTGGTGATTTTCAAGGAGTTCAACATCCACTCCTAAGTCCCTCAGAATGTTAAATAGAGTTGACAGAGATGGAAGCGTAGTCAAAAAATTGATCATAGTCAATCTCACATGATGCAGAGTCCTTGGAATGAATGGAATGGAACAGGATCATACACAATTGCAGGCGTTAATGAAACATGCTTAGTGGACCGAAATAGCTATTCAGCTTCTTTTTGGAAAAGTTAATCGCCAGGCTATACTGTGATAAGAAGCATTGGATTTTTCTTGGTGGGCCCACTGACTAACCGACGTGATTTTATTTTTATTCCTGCCTGTTTTGTTTTCTCCACGCCACTTTATGTTTATTATTTTGAATACCAAATTCAAAATTTCACTGTGATAGGAAACATTGGGTCTTTCTTGGTGGGCCAACTGACTAACCGACGTGAATCTGTTTAACACTCCCGCTTGTTTTTTTTAACTCCCGCGTGTTTTATTTTCTATGCGCGCCAGTTTATGTTTACAATTTTGAATACCAAATTCAAAATTTTCATAATATGAAATTGACGCGCGTGGTAAAAAATCAAAAGACACCGATTCAAGTTTTTGTAGCCAAATAAAAGGCCAACTACCGTATTTCAAGTGGCCATTTCGATAGCTGACACAGTAAACAGCATGTCTTCAGCTTCTTCTCACCTTCGCCATGGCTATGAAGTTGAATGGCCCCAACGATTGTGTTCATGTGGAAGGGTTTGTGACATCAAGATTGTTGAGAAGTCGGAGAAAAATCTAGGGAGATATTACTATGCTTGCCCAAAGGAATCGGTAAACTATATTTCTACTTGGGTTCCTGGTGTGTAGTATATGATTAACCCGACCCTTGCATATCATTAACTTGTTGTTTATTTTTTCCAGCAAAAATGTCTCGGATTTAGAGGGTGGTGCGATGTGTATGCATTAGCTATAAAAAACTCAAACAGGCAATCTATTCAGGAAATGAAGGCGAGAGTTCGACGGCTAACCTCATGTCCCCTAAGAGCACCAACGGCCACCGAGGTGCAGAGACAGAGCTCGAGCGTGTGAGTATGGATGTTGCTCGGTTGAAGGTAGACATGGCGCACATATCGAATGCTATGTGGAAGGTCAAAGCAGGAGTTATTTTGTCATTGACCATTGCATTCATTCTTCTATTGAAGCTGTAGGCCAGTACCATTTGTTTATCTATTAAAGCGGTAGAACTATCCAATATATTTTGCTCTGTTCTATTTATTTAGTGGTGTCAGTATGCCGCGTGAATGGAAAGTTATTACGGGATAACAGACAAATTTTTTTTGGTTGCCTTCATCTCTGTTTGAAGACAACAGTGCAGCTTTAATTCTAAGCTTTAATTTGAAGACAATGGTGCAGCTTTAATTCTAAGCTTGTGTTGATGCGATTGCTTTCTGCGCCATAAATTCTATGGCAAAGGGACCACCACTTTGAGGAGGCCAAGAAAATAATAAATGGCTCTGGTGGGTATTCTTGTTCGCCAATAACAAACGGCAGACCGAGTAAGAAGGTTCGTACAAATTCTGGAATGGAAAGTTTTTGGTCTTTTGGTGATGGTTGGCACTGGATTTGTTGGAAAATCACTCCTGTCAGTGGTTTTGGCGGTCAGCAATTTCAGTCATTGCTGGCAGCAATGTTGTGCGCGTCAACAATTTCGGCTTTGTTTCCTGTCATTTTTTTCTTTTCTTTCTTTTCTTGGCTTTCTTTACTGGGCGTTCAAGCAATTTGGCGGTGAGTTGAGCTGAATCCAGAGCGCACCGCTTCAGAGTTTGCGCGCTGCTACTTTTCCTTATTGTTTTGTCGGTCTTGTTTCCTCTGTTTCTTTTCTTGGCCTTCTTTACCAGGTGTGTTTTTTCCCGTTCCTCATTCTCCTGTCTTCATCCTTTATTCTGAATTGTGTCCTAGGTGTTGCTGTTGAGATGGGGTGCGATGAGGTGGCTGAGGATGTGTTTGATGAAATGTCTGAAAGAGAGGGTTGTCCTAATGCTTGCACTTTTGAAACCATGGTTGTTGGTTATTGCAGGATGGCGCAGAGTTCTGGAATGCTGGACAGGGGTTGTCTTGTGGACAATGCAACTTGTACTTTGATTACGAGTGTGTTCTGTGAAAAGGGTTATGTGAGTAGAGCACTGTGGATTTTTAATAAGTTGGTTGATGTGGGATTTTCTCCAAATCTGATAAATTTTACTAGTTTGATCAATGGGTTATGCAAGAGGGGCAGTATTAGGCAAGCATTTGAATTTTTGGAGGAAATGGTTCGAAAGGGTTGGAAACCAAATGTGTATACCCATAGTATCCTTGTGACTCTAGTGAATAAGTCAACGGTTGGGTCTAACAAGCCAATCATGCAAATGTCATTAACTTCAAGTGCCTGGCTTAGTGTGCTTTTTCTTTGTTGCATGGAATTCCCTGATTCCCATTGGATTTGATTCTCAAAATAGCCTTCTTGAAACCATTCTATTAGCAGTGATTGAATTCTGAATCACTACTGACTGATGTCTGATTCTGTTCTGATTTTTTAACTAATTATGTTGCTATGCAGCTATGTGTGTGGAACTCGGATGGATGGGAAAAGCAAAAGGCTAGATTTTTGCAAATTCCTTCAGGCAGGACACCTATGGCACAATCGGACACTCGTGTGCAGTTCCATCAGGATCAGATTCACTTCCTGGTTGTCCACGAGACTCAGCTTGCCATATATGAGACAACAAAACTGGAATGTGTCAAGCAGGTAAGTTGCCGATTCATGTAAACTCAGCTGTTGAACTTCCCTCTGCTATCAGGCTGATATTTTGATTCCTTATAGTGGCTTCCGCGTGAATCTGGTGCTCCAATTTCTCATGCAACATTCTCTTGCGATAGCCAGCTGGTGTATGCCAGCTTCTTAGATGATGCAGTGTGCGTGTTCACAGCAACTCACTTACAAATGAGATGTCGTATAAGTCCTCCTGCTTATCTTCCCAACAGTATAAGGTACTCCTGCAGTATGCGTATTAGTGTAAATAATTCTCTGCGTTTCATACTTCTGCTGTGTATTAATCATTTCCAAAAAATTCTCACTTCCTGTGCAGCAACTCCAATGTCCAGCCACTTGTAATTGCTGCACATCCACAGGATCCAAACCAGTTTGCTATAGGTTTATCAGATGGTGCGGTCCATGTTTTTGAGCCCCTTGAATCTGATGGCAGATGGGGTGTCCCTCCACTGGTCGATAATGGATCTGCAAGCAGTTTACCAGCGAGTGCAGCTGGAGGCTCAAGCTCTGATCAGGCGCAGAGATGACTGGATAGATGGGGAAATGCCAATTTTACCTGGTTTTGTTTCTTGGCAAGCTCCATTCTGTTGCACAAGAAGTAGAAAAATTTGAATCCCTTAAATGGTTGATTTCAACTATTACTCAAGAGCCCAGCTCAGCGTGGAAATTCTGCTCGAGCAGATGCCACCTTTGTCAGATTTGTTTTTGGCTGGTTGCATAGCATTAGTCCGACAGTTGCTGAGTTGCTTATAAATAATTTTTTTCATTTTTCATGTGCAGTTTATTTATTTGCCTTTTGTGTATTTGGGTATGTGGAAAAGATCTTTAACAGTAAATCAAGATGTGGCCTAAACAAATCTTCAAGTTTTTTATGCATCTTATATTTACTTTCAACCCTCATAAACGTTGAGGTTTTAGTGGCAGTAGAGAAACAAATCCTATTAGGAATCCGATATTCCTGCATGCACACTATTTTGGATGCGGCACATGCCATGATGGTCCAATACCAGCGCATATCCTAGAGCCTGGAGTGGTTAACTCCAATTAACCAATCAACAGGATCAAAAATTAATAAGTCCAATTTTGACTTGTCAAAGCAGTTCCTAACTGTCACAAATTCATGGCAATAAGGCCTTGGATATATAAACATTTGGGACGGTCTAAAGGCTATTTCTGCCAGGCTAAGATGAACAAAAAAATTTCAACAAAAAAGCTACAAAGAATGTGTAGACCTTCACTCTGTCTAACTGTCACAAAACAATGGGAAGTCTTCAGCTACTTCTGCCAGGCTGAGATACCAAAAAATATTTTCAACAAAAAACCTACAAAGAATGGGAAGACCTTCAGCTCCTTGTTCAAGCACACTTGTTCATTGTTCATAGGTTTATGCCCATGTTTCAATTCCCAACATGCCCAGTACTCTTAGGCCACGTCCTTTAAACTGGTTTCCATCATCCAAGAACAATCTAACAGCTACCTTCTTACGCTCTACAACAGAATCAAACTGCAACAGCAATAGCAAATAATGAAACTGGTGAGTATGAATGCATTCTTTGGTCTAAGAATGTTAGTGCATAATTTGCTAAAGCGAGATTTTAATACCTGTAATTGCAAATTCGGACCTAAGAATTGACACTTTTCCATGAACTTGAGTACGTATATCCCACAATCACATCATATAAATGAATTAAGCATGAAATTTTTTTGTACAATCAATCATTGAATTGCATTAATTTTTTTTACAAATTGCAATAATATTATCACGGGCTCCCAAGGGATATTACTCACAAGTTGGGCTGACGGGCACCAATCGGGTGCATCAATAATGAAATCTGTGAAAATTCTATGAGTTTTCCTCCCGTCCATCCAACAAACAAAGCCATTTGAAGTCTACCCCACTGTGGCCAATTATCGATTTATCAAATGATAGTACATACAGAATTGAAATTTTGACAACAAACGGTCTATTGATCATACTCAAAATACTTACTAGTTTTTTCGCCATTGCCAACCGTAGGTTGTTCTCCAACTCATTTTTAGCTGGCAATGAGTCGAGAAGAAGCATAGTTCCAGATGTCAAATCAGCTACGATTAATAGCCAATGACCCTTTCCCAATTGAAGGGGATGCATATCCTCTCACACTCGTCAATAGGCCCCCCAAATCGATCTCCCGTCAAAAAAGCTCTATACAGCACATCATCACACTTGTTGAAATCCAGAGCTACAACCTGCATTAGAGGATGTTCCAATTCATAAGTACGAGTTTAGCTTATCATTTCATTTCCCATTTCAAAGTACATTCAGAGACTAACCGCAAAATCAACTGGCAGATACCACACAGGATAGCGTGTCTCGACTATATCTTTCCTTGCTCTTCGTGTTAGCATTGACACGTAACAAGAAATCACCTGACATGAATCAACTTCGACTTAGGCCAACCATTTCCATTCACATAAATGTGGATTTGAAATTACATAAATTAAAAAATCAGCATATTAAGTTCATAATTGGTTGACTTCACCTCGGAACTTAACCATCCTTCAGGAAGCAATGTTTGCATGGCCTCTCTAGATGCCGTGTGAGACAAAATATGAACGATTATGGAGCTGCAATTCAAAGGGAATAGCATTCTTACCATCCATTATTTCACCAAAAATCTTCAAATATGTATACATGATAATTTGTATAGCAATAGCGAGAGTTTCTCACCTACGGGGCATCGAGTCGTCAACAATGTAATCAAATATCCTATTTATTCTTTCAGAATTTTCCTGTGACGACTCCGACGTCTGTTTTATCTACCAATCACCAGTATGTTTTATATCTAAGGTCACATCATTGGAAACCAAGGTAAAAAATAAAAAGTGCAAAAACCATGAATGGAATATGTATTATCACATTTACCTGGTTATGTGCTTTCTTCCCATGCTTCCTCTCTTCCAACCATGGTCCCGATTTCAAAGGGACTTAGTCTTTGCTCCTTTAGTTCATTCCTATCTCTCTTTCCTTTACATTTTTCTGTCATGACTACATTATTACAGCTTGACATAGATGCAGCTATTGCAACTGCTGTGTTGGCGCGAATGTCATCCCTCCTTTTAGTAGACTTTGGTTCCCATTTTGCTGGCTTCACCTCCGGGATCCTCCGAGGTAGTGATAACATATCATCTACATCATAAATTTTCTCACATACTGTATCACAACCTTTCCCTAACTTTGGTGGTGTTATTGGGTTATGATAATTAGTTTCTAGGTATCCACTCTTATTCTCAATCTCCTTGGCTGCCATCTTTCCTTCCTGCCTTCGGTCATTGGATTCCCCAACTTTTTGTGGCGTTACTGGATTCCTCATACAAGTCCTTTTTGAGGCCATCTTCTTGCCAATCCCACTTTCCATTTCATCTACTACATCTCTATCAATCGAACACCCTTTACCTTCATTTATTGCAGCAACAATAGTCAATAGGATCCTGTGATTCGTGTTTATCTTCGTCTCTAGCCTAAACATCCTCGCTTCCAATTCCTCTTGCTGGCCTCCTAATTTCATCATAGCCATCTGTACACCTCGCAATGCGTCAGCTGTTAATTGGTCTGCACAACCTTTTTCAGCTTTTTCTTCATCATATAACTTTCGGTCAACTACTCTCTCAGCCACTATAACATCAACCTACAATAACAAGCCAATTTTAGGAAACTTAATCGACATAAGTATATGATCATTGCATTTATTTTTTTCGAAATCCTACCTCATTGCCATCAAATAATCCAGCACCTTGGAGTTCTATTATTTTGAATTTCAAATCAGTTTCAGCCCAATACCAGATTCGTGGCGTTGGCCTCATGCTCATTAGAATAGGCTTACATCTCCTCAAATTCACATGCTCTAAGTAGAATATCTAGCATCACAAATCGATACCAAGTTAGTTGCTAAAATGTAAATGCAACTCAACTTTTAAACAGCAAATTGAGCTCACCATCAAGAAAACCATGCAGCCCCCCACTTCTGGAAATGGTTTCTCTACTCTGTTCGCTATGCCGTTGGCCAATTCATCTAAAACGTACTTTGACCAGTTTATCATTTCCAGTAGGTCCACCTTTGCCACCGCAGGAATTAGAGTTCTACTGATGCCATAGCCTATGGGTGGTGCCAGTAATCTACCTATCAAATATAGAACAAATTTCACTTTAAACTCTGCCCCACTGCTATCCAATTGTTGTATGTTCCTCCCCAAATTTACCAAACCGACCTGGTTTCCAATAACATTATATTCAGCTCCCTCTCAATTTTCTGGTCAACGCCATGTGTACTTACCATCAGTTGCATTCCATGACTTTTAAGTCCTAGAATGTACTCCACATCCCGTGGAGTAATCTGGAGGTTATATCCATGCACATTCAGTGTTTTTTTGCTTGCATCAAACCTCTCAACGAGCCATGACAAGAGCTCCATATTTATGTCAAATTGATTAAAATGCAAGATAGATCCGAATCCTATGCTTTCCACTGCCTTGACTGGTCATCATTCAGTCCCTTCACTATCTCCCTCACCATATACATCGAAGAACTGGTGCTGTATATTACCTGTTTAGATATATACGTAATCTCATCACTATGTCTTTTTTTCGATACTGATAAGCATATTATTGTAATACTTGTAATTTTGCACTATTGTCTCACCCCTTTGCCTCCACTTCCCATTCCATCGGGACCTCCTCGCACCTCCCTGCTAGCCATAGACAAGCCAAAAAAAAAAATTTTATCCCAGTCCATGTCCATTTCCAAGTCCAAAATCAAATGGGCTCAGTTTCCATACTAACAAGTCTCGGTTCTTAACCAAAAAATGTACCCAATATAACATAGAATGCTTTACCAAAAAATGCACCAAATACTAACAAGTCTCTTCATGCATTTACCATAACACAATCACATTGAAATTTTCCATTTTCCCCTTTTTCTTAGCCTATGTGAACATAAATAAGTTTCATGGATTTTCTATGATTTCTTCCCCTTTTCTTAGCATATGCGAACATAATCAGGTTTCATGGATTTTCTATGGTTTCTGCCTTCAAATTTTTTCACACATACCTGTACGTTGGCCAAATCGATCCTTCACCTGGCCAATCTGCTTCTATTTTGGAAAATGCCGTTGTTGATCCACTCGTTCTCGTACTTGATCCACTCATTCTTCCATTCAATCCATCTATCAATTGTTCCTACCCATCTACTGCCATTGCTCTCTCGCCTAATCTTCTGTCAGGTTTACCTCTTGTGGAGGATGATTCATTACACCATTTGCAGCCAGCCCATCTCACCTTCAGTCTCTTACTACGGTGGGGGGGTTTTCTTCGGCCTTGGGTCTCTTAGTGAGGAGGGAGTGCGAAGAGTAATTTCTCCAGAGGACTTGCCGAAAACTGAAAAGTGCACCTTCGGTCTCTTACAACGGTGAGGTTTTGTTCGGCTTGGGTCTCTTAGTAGGGAGGGAGTGCGAACTGAAAAGTGCACCTTCGGTCTCTTACAACGGTGAGGTTTTGTTCGGCTTGGGTCTCTTAGTAGGGAGGGAGTGCGAAGCGTAATTTCTCCAGAGGACTTGCTTATTCGTAGGAAGCCAAAATAAGGTTCAACTTTACTGAAGTAAAAGGTGAAAAGTGATCCGTTCAACTTTTCCTTCAATTTCCTTTTACCGGTTTTATTATTACTTTATGTTTACTTGTCCCCACCAATTCAGACTTGTCAGCTGGTATTACTTCAACTGAATACTTGTGTCGGTCTAATACCAATTGAGTGGTACAAACCACTGTACCATTTTGAAGAGGCTTCGATATATATATATATATATATATGTACTAGTAGTAGTAGGAAGAGATGTGTG